GATACATTACAATTATTTGTGTAGTCTGTTTTGTCTTATTCTAACATCCTTCAGAACTATGAATTAATGGATGTCTTAAAGAATTTTTTTGTATATTTACCATAAGCAAACAAGAAACCACAAAAAGAGATAAATTCATATATTCTTAGGCTGAGGGCATTGCTATATGTTTACACCCATTTAGTGGCTCTGGGGGGAATGGGAGCAGGGTGAAAATATGGCATGTGAGACAGAACTGCAATCTTATCTTTCTCCTTCCAAACAGAACATTGGCACCTACTACTGCTACTACTACTACTACAGAACATTGGCACCTACTACTACTACTACTACTACTACTACTACTACTACTACTACTATGACCACTACTACTACTACTACTGTTACTTCAAAATAATAAGGGGCACATGGTAGCATAATTGGCTTAGGCACTATGCTACAAGCTGGAAGGTCACAGGTTCAAGTCCCAATGAGGTGGATTTCTTTTCTCAATTTACCTAATCCTTCCAGCTGCACTATGGCCCTGGAGTCGACTCAGCCTCTAATAGGAATGAGTACCAGGAATCTTCCTGGAACATAAAGGTTGGCCAGTGCGTAAGGCTGACAACCTTACTGCCATCTGTGAGCTGATTGTCTAGAGAAAATGTGGGAGCCTCGACTTCCCACAACCCAGTGGGCTTTTACGGCCTGTTACAGGGACAGCTTTCTTTACTACTAAAATAATAAGAACAGCAGCAAGAATTACGTGTCTGCCCCAAGAAAGCTTTGTAGTGTATAGGGTTTGAATTTTAATACATTGGTGGAATATGAAAAGGAAAGTTATAAGAAAAAGTCTTAATAATTGTTGAATACCACAAATTCTGTAATTTTTGACACAAAGAAAATTAGGATATCCCAGTCTTATTCAATACAGAGGCTGGCCTAGGGGATGTTCTGCAACATAACTTGTGGTTTTGTTATAGGGCTCCTCAGTTTACTGCTGCTACATATTCAAGTCCACATTTTTCTGCTGGGCTAACTGTGAAAGTGACAATTGTAGGTTGTTTGAAGTTCTTAGAACTTTTTATTATACTTGGGAAAGCAGCCTATGATACAAAAATATTGTCATGCGACAAATAACTTCATGTAGCCTTCAGATTCAACCATTATTTATTGAACTCATTCATCCACACTTTCTTAGAGTCAGGAATAGAGTTACTATCACTTGCAGTATCACAATTACTGCTTCCACTGTATCTCAGCAAATACTAGACTGCCTTTGATGGCGACACTCTTCAGACGCCAACTTATACTGAATACTCACTCTCGTACTCAGTACTCATACTCAGTCCTCAATTATCGCTGAATAGTGTTCCTGCTCCTTATATAGGCTTGGCATGGACCACATAGAGAACACATTGCTGCTCGGCAGCAGATATCAGGTGTGTGTACCTACACATTGCCTAGCAATAGACTCCCTACTGTTGCGTGACGTCACAGCCTAGCGAGGAGGGGTGCTTACCGAGCGTTGTTACACAATGAACACTCATTGCTATGGCTATTCCTACATAACGGTCTCAACAATTTCCATTGTTTTGTTGCTCAGTGATGGACGACATAACACATCACAATATTACTATACTTTGTGGCTGGTATGTTTCTCATATGTGTGCCACGGTATTCCCAGCCTTTATTCAATCCTAAAGTTTGTAACCATTTTGGATTTGAAGATCACACAGTGGTGACCATGAAGAGTAATATCTTGTAGAATGTAATGCCATTTAGTTCGGTAGCTCACTGGCATTTTGTAGAACATATTACTTCCATCTTCAGAATTGAAGAGAATAAGACAAGTAGCCAGCAAGACGTAGCTACTTGCTGCAGTAGGATGAAGTTTGGACTGTATATTCTTCCGAAACGTCTATGAAGTTATACCAGACTACATGGGGTTACATATCACAAGATAATACTTTAATAAGTGTGTTAACAGAAGCCCTTCAAGATCTTATTGTAAGCCAGCCAAATCAAGTTTTTATTCTCACAACTGGTTTTAATACAGCATTCATAAATATACGTACATGTGCATTTCCTGAGTGCGAGACAAGCAATCAGGTTGACCATATTTTGATAGGAGACAGTATTCAGGTGCACTTGATGTCTGATCTTTCAGGGGAGTGGACCGTGATGCCGATCACTGTCCAGTGGTGGCTAAGTTAGGGAGAGACTGGCAGTAGGTAAATGAACAATGCAAAAATTTGATGTAGAGAAACTAAGTAAGATATGAGGTAAAGAACAGTATCAGGTTAAAATCTCAGATACGTTTCAACCTTTGGAAAATGTAGGTGATGATGTGGATATCAGTAGAGCTTTGGAAAATATTAGAATATTTAAAATTCAACCGACATTATTATGAATTTAAAAAACTTAAGCCATGGTTTGAAGAAGTGTATTCAAAACTATTAGATCAAATGAAATGAGCCAATTTAATTTAATTATAAAAATTTTAATCGATTTTATTTTATTTTACCTTGAAAAGAGAACTACAACTTGTGATTTTAACACGGACTAAGACAGTGTAGCAGTTTAAACATAATTTAATAAAATATTTGTAATTTGATTTGTTTCATTCTGGTCTGTCACACTAACAATTACAAAGAATAAACTCCATCCAGTGTGACTATTTAAGTTTTACTACTTGAAAACTTGGAAGATAAAATAAATACCTAAAGAAAAACACATAAACTCTAATTGATGCTAGTAAGGGAGTTCGTTTAGAGTTAAACACAGAGAAAACTAATTATATGTTGCTGTCTGATCACCAGAATGCAGGGCAAAATCATATAATAAAAATCGCCAAAAATGCTTTGAAAACGTGGCACAGTTCAAATATTTGATTAAGCCAAAATTTGATTCATGAGGAAATTGAGAGGAGATTCAATTTGGCTAATACTTGCTACAATTCAGTCCAGAAATTTTTGTCTTCTTTTCTGCTGTCTAAAATCGTAAAAATTAGAATATACAAAAGTATAATTTTTCCTGTGGTTCTGTATGGGTCTGAAACTTTATCTCTGATATTAAGGGAAGACCATAGACTTAGGGTGTTTGAGAAAAAGGTGCTGAGGATATTTTCACTGAAGAGAGATGAAGTGACAGGAGGTTGGAGGAAACTACATAATGAGGAGCTTCATAACTTGCACTATTCGCCTAGTACAATTAGAATGACCAAGTGAAGAAGGATGAGACAGGCAGGGTATGTAACACGAATGGGGAGAAGACTACTTTATATAGGACATTTGTGGGAAAGCCAGAAAGAAATAGATTAATAGGAAGACCAAGACGTAGGTGGGCTTATAATATTAAAATCGATTATTAGAGATTAGGATGGGGTGGTATGGACTGGATTTATCTGGCTCAGGATAAGACCTTCAGGCTCTGCAGAATGTTGGGAGATCCTTGAGTAGCTGAGAAACTGGTAGTTTCTCAAAAAGGACTCAGCTCCATTCAGTTTGTCAGTTCTTTTTAATTGTGAGAAAAAAATGTAAATAGAAAAGAGGCAATGCCCGTCCGGCCTTCTGTAGCACATTCCAACAAACATCTTATTCTATAATAGCAGTGGCCCCACAGTTGTTAATATAGATCTTGACTTAAATCTGTGTGTATACTGTAAATAATCGGTACAATTACTTCTTTTACTTTTCTTACATATCTATTTTATATAAATATAGGAATGTTGTTTATGAAGTAACAGACGCCTTGCAGAAATCTTTTTTCTTCTAGCCTTAAGAGCTCCGTAACTGATTTTGGGAAATAGTTTTTGCTGTTCTCTGACAAGATGTCCATCATTGTTGCCCTTTGGTCCTCATACTGTTTACAGCCCCAGAAGATATGTTCCTCCGTTTGCAGCCCATCACCACATTTGCATTCGGCGATGGACACAATGTTGAATCTGTTTAGGCTTACTTTAAGACTGGTGTGGCCCACTCTCATGGATTATTGACACAAAGGCGCGGTGGTACATTTTTATCTGTCGAAACCATGGAGACAAGCCATTCCTGTAGTGCCTTTCAAAGTAGCTTTCTCCTCTGTCCCGTTTGGTGTTTTGACAAAAACTGTGAAGTTCTTTGCCTTTCTTTTTCCACTGGGTTTTAAGATCTGCTAGTGGTAATAGTAACTGACTATCTCTGCCTTCTTTGATTGCTTGCTTTGCCTCCAAGACGACCCTTCATTAGCTTCAACTGCGCAGTGCCCCGGGATCCAGTAAAATTAGATTTTTCTTTTCTCGCGATTCCAGTCTCTCTGTTTTATCTATTAGCATGTGTGTAATGTGCAATGTGTTGCTTATACCTTACTAATGCCTTTTTAACACGCTTGCCGAGTCCGAGAAAATCATGAAGTTTTGCTCCGATTCTATTTTTTCAATGATATCTAGTGTTTCGGCAATTGCTAATGCTTCCACCGTGAATATGGACGCTATCTTAGATTTCCTGAATTTCATGCTATGACCATCTTTTATATCTATCGATGCGAATCCTACGAATGGTTTGTCCTCCATTTTTGAGCCGTCCGAAGCGATACATTTGCTGGTTCTCATTCTTTCTTGGAAAATCTTGTTTAATTCCTTTATTTGTCTTCCCTCATCGAAAGATACCCTGGCCTCGTAGAAGAGGCTTCCGTATGTGTAGTCGAAGGCCGGGGGACAGTTCCCTGATTGGATTAAATGACCGAGAGGGTTTTTTTTCCCCTTGGCACTACAGCCCCAGTGGGCCTAGGCCTACCTCCATGAACTTCTCCGTTCACTTCGGTTTTTCTAGATCTTACACATACGGTAGGACTCCTTAGGCGGGTGATCAGCTCGTCGCAAGGTCTCTACCTGTACACAGAAAAACGCACACAAACATCCATGCCCTCAGTGGGATTCGAACCCACGATCACGGTTTCCAAGCGAGCGACCACAGTACATGCCTTAGACCGCTCGGCTACCGTGACCGGCGGCCATCTACGCATAGCTTTCTTAGATTGTTCTTTGATTTAATTTGTTATTCCGTACGAACAACTGTTACTCCGGTACGCTCCGGTATTCATGATGTTCATGATCTTCTAGCAGTTGGAAAGAATAGCACGAGATAGAGCTTCGGTTCGTAATTGACTGCTGTTGTGTAATTCCAGGGTACAGTGAGGTAATTTCAAATATTAATTCAGTAGCTTCGTTGTAAAATGTACCGTAATTTAAAAATGAAAACAAAACACTGTAAAAATCACACCGACAACGATACAGGTCAAGCGTTCGATTTATCATACAATTAATCACTATCGATACGATACTATAAGGCGTAATTGCATTGGGCCACTGCAGCAATAATATTAATAAGATAAAATGAAAATAACGTGCTTATGTACGTGAAATGTATTAACGTGATGAATTTGAAGTGACCTATGTTAATTTCGATCAATTAATTTTGCGCATGTGGTTTTGTTTATTGAAATGTTTCGCGTTCGTGTGCGCTCAGGTTACGGTGAATTTAAGTGAGGTGCTTAAGAAAATAGAGGAATATGAATACCGTCTCATCATTCTTGTCGCCGAGAACTTCTGCATTAATCGCGTATCAAGTAAGTACGTTATGCCTCTCCTTTGTGGTTAGCCAACTTTTTTAGGGTATCGCAGGAACCTCGTTTTTGTCAGTGAAAGAAAATAATCAGGTCATTGTAGCATACTTAATATTTGACCTCAGATGCTCCGAATTTGTTTGTACGTGCTAAACTATTTTTTTTCTGCTGAGTAATGTTCAGAATATGGGTTGAGTCTTCTTAATAAGATGCTGTTTTCTAGTAATTAATATAAGCCATAGCCCACATAATGGTAATAATCTGTCCTCATGTAGCAGTTTCTTATATTTATGATTTAGCTGTAATAACAATGGTGAGGTGAAGCTAAAGTTGATTCTGAAGGTTCTGATGATGGTGTATAACACTCAGGATTATGGTTGTTTCAACTTTCTCCCTCATCAGGCATTCTAAAGGACACACACAGTGTGTGAGAAACTGGACCTGTTTCCATCCTCAGATGAGTGTTAAATCCAGTAGAAAGTGCGAACATCAGTCATTGGAGATGAACTGTTTTTAATGGACCCAACACTTTCTCTCCCTGTCACCTCTGACCCAAGGACAGATACAGTTTCCAAAACAGTGTGGTCTTTAAAATGCCATTTAAACTACGAAAGGTAGGCCTGACCATCTGTTACGAATATATTCCTTAGTTCTGCTGCTGCTGCAATATGAGTTTATGAAAGGTAAGGTTGGCCCTGTGCTTAACTAATTAAGCACTGCACCATGAATATATATGGGGAGTGGATGTATAAACCTATGTTTTCTTGAACTCAGCACTGGTTGTAGGTGAGTCATCAGCTTCACTCTTTGGTCACTTTACTCCTGGGGAAAGAGCCCCTTGTACCCATTGGAGTATGAATTTATACACATACCCTTGTTAAATTGTTTCAGAGATGCAAGGAGAGACCTTTATCAACCAGCAATTTTTAAGGGTAGCTCAATAAACCAGATGTATTTTTACATTTGAAATCTGACCCATGGATCTTTCTGCATTGCACGTCATGTTTCCCTGTTATACTTAGCTATATTTTATGCAAATACAATGTAGCCAGTGTAGATAAATTAATCGACAAAACTTAAATCTAACATACCTTCCCCAAGAAAAAATGTCAGAAAGTGCTTTTCTTGTTACACAGTATATGCAGCACTCAATTTAGAAAGTAATCCATACAGACCCCAGAAATGTAGTAAGATTGATTTTGTAATATAAGCAATTGTGTACCATTTGAGGTAATATTCCGAATGTCGGTTTTCCTAGTCTTTATTTTATTATTATTATTACTATTATTATTATTATTTAGGGAGGGTGGGTTTTCCCATGCATCGTGACCAGTTTGATGTGTTGTGCTTCCCTCTATGATATTCTACCAGTCTCTTTACCCTACCGATAAATGGTGCGTACCATCAGTCCCGCTGAGCAAGCAGTTTCGGCCACTTGCTTAGCGGTGTCTATAATGCTTCCCCCATCTATCAGAGGCCTTAGAGACTATTGTTGGGCGGGAAACATCCTGGAATTTGGCTCAGTGATCCCCTTTGGGGATATGAGGTTCTTTTACGTGCCGTAAAATTACAACACGGGACACACAGCTAAAGTCCCTCCTGGAGGACTTGTTCCCTGAATTTTTCTGCCCTTAAAAATTTGATGACCTCCGCCGGGTATTTGAACCCGTGTACCACGAGTCATGAGGTGGGAACGTTACCTCTAGACTACGGAGGCCGCTTTAGTCTTTATTTTATTACTGGTGAAAGTATGAAGAACATGTTCAGGTTATGGCCAATTAATGGCCATGATATGAACAAGAAGCATCAGAAATTATTCTCATGTAATAAAAAAGAAATATTGTAAAATATGTGCGACCTCAGGCAGCTGTTTGGTTCCCCGTGAGCTGCTGCACTCACTCTGAGTGTAAGTGGAGTTTCTGGACTAAATTAATATTAACACTTTGCACATTTGCTTTATATACGTAACATTACAGAAAAATTATTCACACCATTACACAGCATTTATTATATAACTTCATCAGACTCTAGCATCTTTCCCACCCCACTGGCCTGAGCTATATCGATGTCAGTTGATGTGGTATTTATGGTGAACAAAGTGGCACTGGGGCTGGTTTTCTCCAAGTACTGCAGTTTCCCATGCAAAATCTCATGCTGTTAACTGCTCCACATTCATTAAATCATCCTGTTGCTGCTGTATAACCTCAATACTGATAGTGTCATTCGTTAAACAAAGAACAAAAAAGAGTACAGCATGTTTATACTCATTTAAAGTCATGGTAAATGCAAAGTGATTCATAGTTTCAGTCTAACTTTGAGAGATAACATAGGGGAGGAAGAAGGAAATATGCACTTTTTCTGGTGGTTTACATACATTTTTCAGATAGTATTGTTATTGTACCCTCTTCTATGGCCATGTGTTGGGATTGATCATCTCATTATGATGAATGGGGACTGGTTCTTTTCTGACTTAATGAATTTCTCACATTCTCTAATTCCTTGGAGCAGAGCCCTCAAAAAGAAGACAGAATTTCACAATTTCTAGATAGAAGCAGTCCCCACCCTCACACCCAATTTCTTTTATGATCCACTTTAATATTATACTGTCATCAATGACTTTTTAGCTCTAACAGAATATTTCTGAAACTAAAGTACTCAGAGAGAACCAGTGCCACTTTGTAAGATTTGAGGTTTTCACCGGTTCTCACGGTCTCTTTGCCTGCGGATTTCTTATATTTTTCCTTCTACCCTGAAGATGGAGGTGATACGTTCCTCTGAAACGTCGGTTAACACCACATATACACGGTGCCAAATCCCAGAAGACTACTTTCTTCAGTGCCACTTTGTCCACCACTTACCCCACATGACCTCACGTGGGTTTGAACTTATGCCACTGCGTGGGAAGCTGGCAACTAACCATCTGAGCTATGGCATGGCAACTTGTGCTGGACCACATGTCATGCCAGATTTGAGACATCTGACTTGTTCCTGTGCGGTTAAGAAAGCCTCATTATTAAGGAAACAAGAAATAGCCAGTGGCATGATTTATGCAGATAGATACTGAACTCAGCCATGAAGAATTAAACTTATTTGATCAGGTATCTGGACCCACTTGGTTAGCTGAACACTGCAGGGTATCTCAAGAAGAATGTAACATAACATTTTAATGGCCTTTGTAGTGAGTAGTTATAACACTGACATATCTTTATGTTCATCATCAGTATAATTGCCATTATTATTATCTCTGGCTGAATTACATGGTGGTAGTGATTATGCAGCTATTATGCTATTCTAGCATTGTTGTTCAGCTGTAATACATTGACTGAGGACAGCGTCATCGAACTGTTCAGAGTGGTGGTCCCTGGAAGCAACAGTGTAACCTGGCTGGAAATAGGCTGGCTAAGGTGGTGTGAGCTACTGTGCAGATGCATGAGGGTGTATGTAGAACAGTTCTTGGGATACAAGGCAACTTCCCATTGTATATGGTTCCACACATACATGTGTGCACTCATGCACATTCCACATGCAGAACTCTGTGGGAGGTTACAGGCTTTCCCCAGCTTCTACAGCTGTCTGGCTCCACAGCAGTTGGATGAACTTAACCCAGGACCCCTTCAATGGAGCACCCTGGATCCTTTCTCCCTGCATTGGAGGGGTCAGCTGCTGTGTTTTCTGCTTTTGTGGAGAATCAACCAAAATGTCCCACGGGCTCTGGGAGTCAATTGAGAGTGAGGCTGAAAGAGGTCTCTTGTTGGGGGTGAGCAATCTGGCCATGAAGTGGAAGAATCAGACTGGATCACAGAAGAAGCAGGACAAGAAGAGGAGTGCTGTCCAAAAGGAAACTGAGGGCTCAGCTGGAAGCTTGATTGTGAACCCAACTGGGACCGGTGGTGGTGGCTCGGCTGTCAATATATGACAGAGTGGCTAGAGATAATCCACCATCAGCAATCAAAGAGATGAACAGCCCAAGAGTCTGAATTTTGTATGTAGTGTCATGATGAAGTTCTTTCTCTTTGTAATGTGGGTTTGTTCTTCTTTTGTATTGATGTTTTCATCCTACTACTGAATGTTGATCCTGTTTTGAGGTTCTGTATGGACTCATAGGAGAAGCAGGAAGAAATACATGTAGAATTGCAACAATAATTATACCTGAATAATAACTCATGACATATAAAACAAACATTAACAACAAATCCCAGAAGACATCATCAGCCTCTGACATATGACAAGCCTCATAGAAACCCACATCGTATTGTTACATGTACACCCACTGCTAGGCAACGTGTTGGTAAACAAGTTCCCGCGGAGACAGATTCTTAGTAAACAGTCCATTGCTAGGTAATGCAACAATAGATGAGGCTGTCTTCTATGTGGTCTGTTCCAAGCAACAGTAGAATGACGGTTATGCAATACATTTCTAAGCAATGGCTGGATAAACACATTTCCATGCATCGGACCATGCTATGAAAGCGGTGACGTCATCAGCAATAGAGATGATGCAATTTCTTTATTAAGACCATCACAAAACCACTGTATTAAGGTCAGTGCCAATTTTGGCTCCGCTACATGTTTCGGCTACCAAAAGCCATCATCAGGAAAATACATGGCCAACATACGAGCATATACACCATTGAACTGCAGTACTAGTAAAATTGGATACAATAATATTAATTATATTAAAATCTTTGGCATAAAAGTACAATAAATTAGACTATATAAAACGAAACTTATAGTATAAAACAAGATTAAAATTCTTCAATTGATGCTTTACATCATCGAGTCAATCAGTTTTTGTGATTTTGTTGTGCAGGCAATATAACTGACCCACTCAGTGAGGCTTCTAGCCCCACAAGTTGGTCGGCACTTATAACTGTCCTCTTAGTTGCCTCCACTTTCATCCGCCGCTCCCTCGTCATCTGGTTCAGGGTAGGGTGTGGGATTACTCTGAATTTGAATTTGTATGGGCGCCAGTGGACTTTCGTGCAATCCACGAATTTGGAACGGGGAAAACAAAGCGGGGGAGGACGTGGATAAACGGGCGTTTAGGGTTTCGGCTGCTCAGACGGTAGGACAAGATTCTGCCTCAGGGCGACTTCTGGGCCTTGCACAAGGAGGTAGAGAACACTTAAACACGCACCTCACCAACTCTGTTGCTCTTTATTGTAGATGTGAACTAGAATTATATATAACAAGGCTGTAGCACTTTTGAATTTGTGTACCGGACTCGGCCAACACCGATTTAACGTCCGGGAGGTTACTCCTGTTACTCCCTTTAGACGACTCACTCCTGTTACTCCATTTTGATGACTGACTGCTCTGGAGAGGCAGAAGACCTGACGGAAAGGGGGAACGCCCGGTTTCCTCTCCTTTGAAATTTTGCTGATTGGCTGAACTTAAAATTTGGGTGTTACTCTCATTTACATTCAGCCAATCCCTAACGAGGTCCATGTAAATTTGGGCCTAAGTACAAGACGGTCCCCCTGACAGTTCTCAAATAAATGAAGGTACACTAAGATCGCTCGGTACGCCTCTCCGAAAATTATTGCGACTGGTATCTGTCAAGTCTCAAATTTTCAAAGACTCGCACCGCCGAAGTTAAGCATTGAAATTTTCAGAAAACGCAGCGGTATACTTCCTGCTCCGTTCTGGGTTTTCCAGTGACCTGCAGCTTACTTGTCCCTCAGAAAGATCAGATGTCGTCCTTGGCGTCTGCTGGTGCTGGGGTCAATTCTGTATCATCTATTGTTAACAGTAATACAGTTCGTTTACTTGTAGTACATTGTAATTAAGAATGTAAATCATCAACACTGCTGAGGTTCCTGCATGGTGCGGTTACAGCAACAAGCGGAAGTCATACAAAATCATGAGAATTAACATGTTCGCGGTACAGGACAAGGTGAAGTCAGACACAGAAAATATAAGAGACTTAAACTTGGCAGTGTTCAAGCTTATGACCGTTCAAATGACTAAGTTGTCATTGTAGCATAAGATATGTAAGTTAGGCATGATGTGCTCTGTAAAAGCCTGTACTGACAGGGGACTTGTGTGTAGTGCAAAAAGAATAATTTTCAATAGCATGTTATATGTGCGAAATATACACTTGAAGAAAGGCCAAGTTTATTCATAAGAGACAAACCCATCTTCTCGTGAGAGAGGATGTTACATAAAGGACTTTGACTTTGTTGAAGGGCAGTTACGAGTCAATTAATTGTATGCTGGAGGAGTGAGCCCAGAAGAACTTTTAGTCCCGAGTATTTTTAGAGTGATTGGAGACGAAGTAGTAAGAAGACTTCATTTTGAGTTGAAGTGCTAACCAGATGAAACTGGGACCCGAAACGAAACATCAAGAGAAGATGGACGCCAGGATAGCGGACATGAATGATGGTCGTAAAGAGTGGACGGTATACCAAGAAGCGACGGAGGCCAATCGAGAGAAGATGGAGCCAAATCCAGGAGAAAAGGAGGCCATAGTGGAGCGGCAGGAGATTGCTAACAAAGAGCAATCAATTTGCTACCTGAGGGCATGCCGAGAATAGACGCTGTCCTGCCAAGTAAGGACGGAGAGGCGTGTCTAGACAGTAAGGACCCAAATCCGGAAGACATTAAATCTGAAGTGGAATTAACGGCCGTGGGGATTCGTTGCGCTGACCACGCGGCACCCTCTATCCGCTAAAGTTGGCACTAACTTCGACAACAAGTGGTGGTCGCCCAGTCGGTATAGTTCGCTTGCGGACTAAAGCCACGGAGTTTTTGTTTTTGGAACATTGGGAGGCCCCTAAGGAAGATGCCGTAAAGAAACCGGTCAAAGGACGAAAGAAGCAGCATAGGGACCGGAAGCTAGCTGTAGGGCGACGTGGAGAGCGAAAGGAACGGACCGATCTAAAGAGTGAACTCCGAAGCGTGTAACTTTTTATGCAAACTGAAGCTACTTTCACTCTTTCAAAAATATGATATAACCGACTTATACGTATGTTTCCTTTTCCCCAGTTAGTATAAATTCTGCAGAGTTTTGCAAATTTTAGGTAGTCTCTCAAGTGATCGGTAATATTCTCAAGAAGATATAAGCCGTATAGTGAGATTTATACTGGTATTCGTGCAGCAGTATTCTCTGACTCTTATGATGATAAGACGACAGTGGCGCAGTTGTGAGGACAATGGACTATGTATGACCATCACAGAAAGTTGCATGTTCGTGCATGCTTCTGTTGAACAAAGACGCTAAGAGAGGTGACCGCACATGAAGATACGATCAGTAACGACTGAGTAGTGACTAACGGGTATACGGTGTACGTCAAAGACAGGCTCTGTGATGTTTTTAATTTAATAGTGAAGTGAATGAAGGTTTGTACAGTCGGGTGCACTGAGTACCTATGTGAGCATGCAACATAAGTCAGTAAGTAATGGTATCCCTGTAACAGGCCGTGAAGGCCCATAGAGTTGTGAGATGTTGAGGTTCCCACATTTTCTAGACAATCGGCACATAGATGGCTACAAGGTTGTCAGCCCTACGCGCCGGCCCCCCTTTTCCCCCAAGAATATTCCAAGAATGTTCCTAGTACTCATTTCTGTTAAAGGCTGAGTCGACCCCAGGGCCATAGTGCGGCTGGAAGGATTAGGTCAATTGAAAAAAAATTCAATCACCTCATCGGGATTTGAACCCGCGACTTTCCGGCTTGTAGCATAGTGCCTCAACCAACTACGCTACCGCGTACCCCATAATAGAAGCAAGTATCGATGCTTTTGTTATATTGGTTACGAGCTGGACGGACGTGATTCGATTGCCGCCCCTAGACTCGTATTCTCCTCATCGCCAGCGCTTTCAAACCAGCTGTGGCTTCTCCCAGCCATCTATCGTATGTTTTCTTGACGGGAAGATTAGCACAGGGCCCAAGCATCCTGCGACTCAGTGGGTAATGAAGGTCCTTTTGTCACGGGTGAAAATGACAAAGAGTTTGACCGATCTTTCACCTTCATGTAGGCCTATTGCC